GATCCTGCACCCAAAACAGATTCTTAGAATCACTTTTCACCAAAAAAATATACTAAAGCCGAATTCAATCAAAACTTTAGAAATAAACGCAACTACTCCACTAAATCACACAAATACCTTAACTCTAAGGCAACTACGGGGGGTGTAGTCAAATTTGGATTTGATGGTATTTTAATAGACTTTAAAATCAGTGTAGTCAATTAGGAGTTTGATGGTGGATTTTAAAAGATTTTAAAATCAGGGTGTAGTCAAATCAGGATTTAAGAGGATTTAAAGAATACATCCAAATCTATGGGTAATTAATAGTCAAACTTGGATTTGAGAGGATTTTAAAAGACTTTAAAATCCTAGTGTAGTCAATTAAAAGATTTTAAAGGATTTTAGAATCCATTCAAATCTAGGTGTAGTCAATTAAAGGATTTTAGAATCCTTTAAAATCTAGGTGTAGTCAATTAAAAGATTTTAAAGGATTTTAAAATTCATCCAAATCTAAGCGTATTCAAAAAATTAAGATTTTGGAGGATTTCAATAAGTTGTGGATTTTGTGGGATTTGAGAGCCAAAAATATATATAACCAATACCAAAAAGAATCCAACCTCACCCCCTAGGATTTCTAATCCTTCCACCACAATCCACCACAATCCATTCAAATTCTTAAAAATCCATATGAATTTTGTAGGAATCTTTAATCCTCTTAAATCCTATCAAATCTATCACTTTTAAAATCCTTTAAAATCCTTTAAAATCTTAATTTGACTACACCCCCCTAAAATTTTAAAAGTCCATACAAATCTAAGTGTAGTGGGAATGCTAAAGATTTACTAGGATTTTGGTGGATGAAGGATTTTGATGGATTTGAGGGTGGGTGGTATAAATACCAAATCCCATCAATAATCCAACAATCCCCCATCTAATTTCTTTTCACGCCAAACCATAAAAGACGAATTGTCCTAGCATGAGTTCCAAGCATTCCCCACTAAACTCGCATTTTGCATTTTTGCTATATATTTTTTCTGCATTTGGTTTGTTCCTCCGGGAAGATGAGTAACAATTGGAGCATGATTTTTCTGAATTGGGATTTTATCTTTTTTTTTTTTTTTGGCTTTATAATCCGTGCTCTTTCCACTTCTCATTTGCAATTTTTTTTGGGGCTGTCGAAAAGAATTTAAATTATCAAAACTGGAACAATTTTTTGGTGGGTTAGATGAATGCAATTGAAAAAATTTGGGTTTTTCGTTGACCTGGATTCAATACGTGAAAATGGCAATTGAGTTTGTTTTTGTTTAATCAGAAAGTGGAAAGAAATTGTTTTTCAGGAATTCCCTTTACTGGTTTGGTGAACTAGGGTTATGCAATTTTGGCCTACAAGCTGTTTGTTTAAATGCCACAAAGAAGTATCTGATGAATTGGTTGAGCTTTTTTTCCTCCGCCTTTCGTCTAATGAAGTTTCTGTTGGTTTTAATTGCTTTTCGTATAATGTGTGTAATGTTGTGGCAATTTTTGACATGAATTTGATACTACTGAGATTTTGGGTCGATATGTTATGAGATGTGATTAGATAAAAATTGGGGAAGAAATATATTAGCCATTTGTAACTTTGATAAAAATCAATGAAAAATGTCCACACAAATCCTTAGAAATCCATGAAAGAATTTCATACAATCCATAGAAATCTATAATGGAAATTCATATAAATCTTTCAAAATCCATATAGAACTGTAGAATCTATTAAAATCCTTTAAAATCTGTCCCTTAACAAATCTATTAAAACCCTGTGAAATCCAAATTGACTACACCTCCCTAAAAGTAACGACAAGATTAAACTACCAGCTCAAAAATCCAACCCCAACCCCAAAACCCAGAAAACCCATATCGCAGATCTAATTAAAAGGAAAAACAGATCAAACCCAAAACCCCAGATCCACCGTTCAGTGGAAACGAAGACAAACCCAAAACGATTCAGCCACAATGCAGCGACTAAGGACGAAATAAAAAGCAATTAAAGTGATAAACAATTAAAGGGTCATCGAATTCGAAGAGAAAAAAAAAATGGAGATTTGAAGAGAGCTTACAATGTGGAAATCGCGAGGAGCGACGCCCGGGAGGTAGAAGCAGTGGGACGAGGAGATGAGGAGGAGCACGGTAAAGATAAGGGTTGTTCTGGTGGTGGTTGTAGGGGCGGAGATCCTCCTACCCATCTTCTTCTTGTTCTTCTTCTACCTCGATTCGATCGAGAGAGAGAGGTGTTTACAGAGATTTTCGCAGGGACAAAAGCGCATAAGCTAATCTCCAGTCCTTCATTGATCAGGTAGAGTTGTATATGGATCCTTCTTTTTATTGTCAAGATGTGACGTTATTATAGTGTTTATATGCCAAGTTGCCTCTCCCTCCGCATACCAATTTTCGACTATAAAAGCCGATAAATTAAAGGAGATACAAAAATTAAATGATGTATTAAAGATAAAAGTACGTATGTAAATAGCACTACTTTTTTGTCAATTCCACTTTAATATTTTTTTTCTTCTAATTCTACTATAGATTTGTGTTTGGTCGTATGATGGTTGAGTTGAAATAATGAATGAAGTTATAAGTATGAGTTAAGTTGTAAATACGTCTCTTGTCTTTCTTCTTTCCCTGCTTGTGTCTCTCATCCTTTACAGCGTGCCTTGTATTTATAGAAGCAAGGATCCTTCTAGGTTTCAACTTTGGGAATCTCCTGGTTTCTTTTTCTCTTCCAAATCATCTAAGTCTTCCTTCATCATGGATGCAGTTACAGGTTTCTCTTTTAGTATAATGCTTCAAAGGTTAGGAGCCCTGTGAAGCCTGATAGAGCACACTGCCCAAAGTTTCTCTTTTCCTGGACCAAGTTCCACAACACCTTTCTTGGACCATGTCCCATAGCACGACTTTATCTTTGGTATCGCTCATCCTTGATTTCTCTCCTATTTTTCCTGTGTGAGCTTGGAAAGGAAAGATTCATTTCTACGCAAGAAAAGGGGTGCGCGACTCTAGATAAACATGTGATTTGGTTAGCTCAGGTTTAGGTTTTTGTTGTTTCCTAAGTATCCTAGTTGGTTTGCAAGGGAAAGGGTAAGGATAAACCTATTCTCTCTCAAGCCTTCCCACGTGAAGCCAAAATCATGGGCTTGCACTTTTGGTACTCCCATGCAGTCCAAAAGTCTTCCACAATTCTAATTCCACATAGGCCCAGTAAACTTCCATAACCATCCACATCACGAATCACTCGACAAGCCTCGTTAAGTGGCTTGGGCTCATTTTAGCATGGCGTGACTCATATCATAATATTAAGTATTATAATTTGCATGGACTTGGCATCCAATAAACTACTATTTTATTGGCGCGGCATGATCGTAAATTTGCATACTCTTCATTTCATACTTTATGCATGAATTTAAGTTTGGCTTGTGACGCTTCCACAATGATTGGGCCTTGAGACATGATCCCACTGAATTTTTCCTACTTGACTAGGTTTCAATGGGGAACCCATCATTGGCTGGTCATACCCTTATGTGCATTCTACTTGCGTCATGAAGGCGTTTAGTTTTGACTTAATGCATTTCTCACTTTTCTCCTTAGACTATGGGTTTTTGTCCCACTATGAGTTTTACCATGGTGAGGGTTTGTGAGTTTTACTATCTATGCATCCGTTTATTGTTGATACTCGCATTTGCTCATTTTACATTTCTCAATTTCATCAACTGCTTCTACTTTTGCTTGATGATCTAATGTGGCATCCACTTTTGTATTTACACACTCAATGGAGAGTGTTGTGAATATACTTATATGATATGATTGCGTTAATGTGTAGCAAATTCAATATAGAATCCTATGAAATCTAGGGAATCTTTCATTCTACAAGTTATACTACTTGGATAACAAGTTTTTCTCTTCCTATTACTTACCATAGAAAGCACAAACGTACCTTTACCTAGTATAAGAAAATGATTTTTTTTTTTTTAACCAAACAATGAGTGCAAACTTTGTCTGAACTACTAACAAGGGAAATTTTGTTTAAGCCCATCTAACCTATTTTTACACTCAACTTAAATTTTAAATGTTGATTGTCTGTTTTATCCTATTGCATAATTACTATTAAGTACAAAATGAAATTAATAATAAAAGTCAAATTTATCAATAGACCCACATACTATAATTAAACCCTAGCAATATAGCATCACCCTTTATTTAATTCTATGTTCATTCCAATTAAAACCCTAATAGCTCTGATAAAGAAAAACAAGCTTTTCTGTTGATGGATAACGATTTTGAAGTTTTTAATCCTTCAACTAAGGTATGACTTGATTTATGGATATTTTGTTTGTTTGCTTTTTCTTTAGATTAATTTCCATACTTTTTATATTATATTATATTTGTTTTTCTTTGCCGTCTGTATGCGCCCCAAAACACCAGTGTAAGGACTTTTGATTGGTACTGCAAAGACATAAAACTTGATTCTTGATGCAAATAAAGATTGCTAACCTTAACCACGAACTAGTAGGTGGCATGTCTTGCACCTTTTTTTATTCAAAATAGCTCTAATTTGTTTATTTGTTTATTAACATAACAGCAAAACATTCAGCCCTATGTCACTTCAAAGTTTTTTAAAAAATACATAAAAATGCTCGATTTAAAAGAGATTGAACTGGAGCTCGCATAACATTCTCTTGGCAAATTCAAGTCTATGGAATGATCTCTTGGATCCCAAGTCCATAGATGGGTTGTGGTTGCCAAAATAAAAAAAGCAGCCATGGAAATGCTAATCCCTTATGGCATATGCAACTATAGAGGGGCAAAAGATGTTTTTTTGAAAAAAAAAAAAAAAATATATGGATGAAGAAAGTAAGTTAAATATAGAAAAAAATTAGATGGGATCAAATAAAATTTTCTTACGTTCAAATTCGTTTTTACATTTAGCAGAACTAAAAAAAAAAAAAAAAAGGAAAAAGAAGGAAACTGATTTAGCAAAAAGTAATTAGAGGAGCAAAGGAGACAGAGTCACGCCCACTATTTGAGAAAACATCTCTCTCTGTCTCCTCTGAGATCGATCTCTCTCTCTCTCTCCCGTCCCCTAATCGTTCTCTTTCTCTCTGTCTCGCACACATTTCGAAGCCCGTCATCACAATCTCGTCGAAGCCAATCTCACCCGCAAATGGGTACCTTCTCATTCCTCTGATCCATCTGATTTATATACCCTAATCATAATTATAACCAGACGTTTATTTATTCATTTGTTTAATTTTCCGTTTTTCATTAATTAATTGCGATTTAGCACCTGATTGCCATCAATTTCAGACGTTTACTGATTGTGATACCTGGAGCGGTCATGGGGATTTAGCATTTTCTGCATTGGGTTTCAGTTTTTGTGTTTACCTGTTCATGTTTTTATAATTTAATTGAGTCCTGATTTTGCCTCAGTTGGATGCAAATTTTGGGGTTTTGAAATGGTACATTGAGGGGAAATGATTGATCGTAAAATCCCATTTCTTTTTTCTGTTAGTCAGAAAGTGTAGGAAAATATAACAAAATCTTCTCTCATTTATTTATCGAGTTTAGCTTGAGACGCCAGAAATGTAATTCGATGGTCTTCTGTGGGTTATGGGATTCTTTTTGGCTTAGTTGAGGTGAGCTAGAAAAATTTGTAACACAAATGTAATTGATTTAACTTTGTCTTCAGCAATGTAATATCGGGGTATGGTTAATTAGCATGAAACTTGCAGATCAGTGTCGAAATTTTACCTTTTCTAAATTCAAGACTACAAAAATTATGTTTTTGTTGTGATACATGCAAAAGGCATGCAGAAATATATACAATTGGATGAAATTTTAAGAGCAGTGAGAAAATGGTAGCTATTTTGATTGATTTTACACTTTGTCTTTGCAGATTTTGGTTTTTGGTAAATGCTTTCGATGATATTTGAATCAGCAAACCTAATGTGTTGGTCGGCAGATTAATTGTTTGATCAGTTTCTTTAGGATGTTTTGTAGCTTTGAAATCCGTGGATTTTGTTTCTTATCTTAACATTTGAGCACACTCTCATCCAGCAAAAAGTGAGGAGTGCTGTTCTACTCAGCTTATCGACGGGGATGGTACATTCAATGTCAGCGGAATTGACCGGTTTATCAAGGAGGCAAAATTGCCTGAATGCGGGCTTTCTTATGCGGTTGTCTCCATTATGGGCCCACAAAGTAGTGGTATGCATTCTTATCGTTTCAAGCATAGCATACAAGTCTTCATTTTTCCCTGGTTACTTTATTGATGGTTTACATATGATGAAGTGTATTTTATTAAAGGATAAATTAGGTTCCCATCCCTCGTTTTTCTTTCTCATTAATCGAAACCTTTTTCCTTTTTCATTTTTGATCAAGGTCCTGTGCCTTTTCTCCATGTTATTATTTGAATATTAAATTATTTACAAGTCATTATATGTCAATTTTAAAAATGAAAAACTTGTTAATCATTTTCAACTTATTAATCATTTTCAAATAAATCCCAGTGCTAGCCAGCTGGCCACCGCTCCGATTAGTCTCTAGGTGTTTGAAAATTAAGAAAGTGCACCTAGACCCGCTTAGGCGTCCGTTGAGCCCGCTTAGGCGCCCACCTAGCCCATCTAGACCGCCTAGGTCGCTACTCTCACTTAGACAGAAAATCGTGAGGTAGGAGGTGGAGGAGAGGAAAGAGTTGGGGACGGCGAGGAGGGTGAGTGAGGAGTGGGGGAGGAGGTCGGAGGAGATGGAGGAGTTGAGGAGGGAGGCGAAGGAGGAGAGGTCAGGGAAGGGGGAGAGGAGGGTGGAGATGTTGAGGGCGTGGATGGAGGAGGACGAGGAGAGGAGGAGGAGGAAATAGAGGAGGGCTGTAGGGGTACAGTGGGAAATGTATTGGCTGTTGTGGTTTGGATTGGGTAGGGGTGGTTGTTTGGCTCTCTCTCTCTTGTTGAGAGTGTTCATTTTGCATTTTATTTTGTCAATAAAATATAAGAGACTTATTAAATACTTGGATGAACATGTATTATATGTTTGTTCCCCATGTATTCAATATGTTCTAATACTTTATAATCTATATGTCATTTTATTTTGCAATTGATGTATCACAATCCAATTATGTGTGTGTGTTTTTTTTTTTAAAGTATAAAGAGGTACTTATTTACACAATATATAATAAATTTACTTGATCTGCCTAGTCTGCCTAGGCGCTAGACCCCAACCCACGGCTCGACTAGCGCCTAGCGTCTTCTAGAACCTTGTTTTTTAGTATTTTTTATATATTTATATTTATATTTATAATTTGTATCATTTTTTTAATTTATACCAATATTCTTTTTAGTTGTAATTTGTACCCATAATTTTGAATTTTAATATGTACCTATATGTTTAATTTAATTTGTACTCATATTGTTTTGTGAATGTACCCATAATTATATGTATTTATGTTTTAAAATATATCAATAGTTATTTCTTATGCTATGTTAATAATTATGTGGGTATGGATCAAAAAAAATAAAAAAATTATGCGGGTACCTTATTTTTACGGTAGAATTATGTGAAGAAGAATATTACCCTATTGTTCATTTCTAAGTAATTGTTATATTGTAAGTTTGTTTAAATTTCATAATTTGTAGGATATTGAATGCATAAATGCATGAGTTAAATCCCTTAAATGATGCTAGCGACCTGGATCAAACTATTTAAACAAATAAGGTTTCGTCTAGCAATCAGGTTGACTAGGGACCAGAACCAAGGTTTAGTCACAGGATATGATATGTTAAGGTTTCCCTTAATTTTTTTTTTTTTTTTTTTCTACTAATGGTCTGGCCAGGGAAGAGCACATTATTAAATCATTTATTTGCTACCAACTTTCGCGAGATGGATGCTTTTAGAGGAAGGCAAGTTCTCATGATGCTCAATCTGAAATAAATTAGTTATATTTTGTTTTATGGACCAGTAATATGATTGGCACATGTTTTTTTTTTCCAGGTCACAAACAACTAAAGGTATTTGGGCTGCAAAATGCGCTGGCATTGAGCCTTGCACTCTTGTAATGGATTTAGAGGGTACTGATGGAAGAGAACGAGGAGAGGTGGACACCCCACTATAGTTTTCTTTAAATTTTGATTTATGGTTGTACTTAGATTTAATCGTCATTACCAGTTCCCTGTTTATATTCCTCCACGCCCTTGTGCTTGGATTCTCAAAAGTTCTTAGTCTTTATTAACTATTCCATCCAACTTTTACCAGAATGCATTATTCTGTGAAAATTCTTTTTCAAGGTTCAAGTATTTTGAAATGGAATCTTAGAGTACAGGTGGAGAAGAAATGACATAACTGTTTGATTATTATTAATCGCATTTCTTTTAAAGGATGATACTGTGTTCGAGAAGCAGAGTGCCCTCTTTGCTCTTGCTGTTTCAGATATAGTGCTCATAAACATGTGAGCTTTCTCCCTTTTGAAATATGTATTTATTCTCTGCACTTTTCTTTTAACTATTATATTGTTTGGGATTTCATTTTTCATAGTCTTTGTGAGTTAATCTCTGAAGCAATTTTTATCAACCAGGTGGTGCCATGATATTGGCCGTGAGCAAGCTGCAAACAAGCCTCTCCTGAAGACTGTGTTCCAAGTATTTTTATACCTAGCTTTCGTGTTTAAGCAATTAGTATAAGTTTCATAAGATTGATTTTTTAAACTTTATGCTTCACAGGTGATGATGCGATTATTTAGCCCACGTAAAACAACTCTGATGTTTGTCATCCGTGATAAAACAAGGGTTAGTTCTTTTCTTTTAGCGTTCTATGTCGTAGCTTGAGATAAGGCCAATTTTACTTTGCATTTATTATTCATTTTTTAGTTTATGCTACATCGCTTTGTTTCTTCGCAAGGCTTTTCAAATCTGGCTTGAGTTTTTGATAGTATCCTTGTCTCTTTTTAGACACCATTGGAAAATTTAGAACCTGTTCTTAGAGAAGACATTCAGAAGGTAAGTGATTTGTTTCCTTGTTATTTTCTGACTTATGTTGATGTTTATTTTCAACCTTCTCGATCCTTTGCTGCAGATATGGGACTCTGTTCCTAAGCCCGAAGCCCACAGGGAAACTCCACTAAGTGAATTTTTTAATGTAAGATGTCAATACTTTTCTGACATATGAGCATAGAGATGTGCTTATTTTTGTGGCATAAACTGTTAAAGAATGGCAGCAATTTGATGTTACTGTGGTGAAAACTATCAACCATGTTTTCGACATATTTTGATGATTGAATGGTTAGGTTGAGGTTGTTGCTCTTTCAAGTTATGAAGAAAAAGAAGAGCAATTTAAGGAGCAGGTATATATGCATATGTGTGTCTGTTGACCTCATAGAATTCTTTTTGGTCTTGTACAACAGGTCAAATTAAAAAAATTAATATTTGCTTCTTTGTTCTTGGTGTACAAAGAACTTTAGCTTTTCTCTAGATACATTTATCTAACATTTTTGTTTTCGTTCTTTGGTAACCTATGTTTATAAATTAAGGTTACTAGCTTGAGACAGAGATTTTATCATTCTATTGCACCCGGTGGTCTTGCTGGAGACCGACGGGGGGTAGTTCCTGCTTCAGGGTTTTCGTTTAGTGCACAACAGATATGGAAAGTCATCAAAGAAAACAAAGATCTTGATCTTCCAGCCCACAAGGTAACACTGCGAATATATTTTTCACTTATGACATTCATGTCATATGCATGCTGTTTTTATTTAGTCATCTTTTGTTCATTCACTGTAGGTCATGGTGGCTACTGTACGTTGTGAAGAAATTGCAAATGAGAAGTATGCTGCTTTTGCAGGAAATGAGGTACCTATTTTTCACAGTACCACATTTTTCTTCTTAAAGTTGATGTTGTAATTTTTGTGGCCCTTGAACTCCTTAATTATCACAGGAGTGGAATGAGTTGAATGAGGCTGTTCAGTCTGGTCCTATTTCTGGCTTTGGGAAGAAGCTCAATTCAATCCTTGACACTTGTCTTTCAGAGTAAGTAACTTCATCTGTTTCTCTCAGCATTATAGCTTTAGGATACAATTTGATCTAATGAGAGAGAAGTTCTTTAACTGTTTTGTGAGTATCCTCTTAATTAGGTAGTATGCACTTTCAGTGAACATCTAGAATTTACTTTGATGGTCATGTTAGGTTTGGAGTAGACACTTGCATCTAGGTTCTAGAATTCATGATGCATAAGACTCTTAAGTGAGCCTCACTTAATTGAACTAGAAGTTCTAGTTTACTGCTTACAAGAAGAAGGCTTGTTGGTATGCGATATGATTTTTACCAATTGCAAAAGTAGGGATAAAAATACTTAAAAATACTTGCAAGAGAACAAGGGTTGTAGTATAAATGGCTCAAACAAGTTCGTTCTCCACAGGATTGATATGAATAACTTGTATTTAAAACCTATTTAATCATTTAAAACAAGTTTTGAAAAAGTTTTGGAATTGTGAATTAAAATAAAAAGACATAAAATAATTAAAATTGATTTTAATGAAAACTTGGCAACAAAGAGAAAATAAAATAGTTTTGGAAAAATCAAATGCAAAAAGCCCTAGGGTTTAGCCGTCGCCAATAACAATCCTATGTAGTTTTACCAATTACTTATGAATTACACATGCAACTTTGAAGGTTAGGTTTTCCTTATCATATTCTCGTGATATTCAAGTAAGAACGTATATCTAACATGCAATATGTCTGATCAAATGTAAACATGCAAGACGCATTAAACTTTGTGAAAACCTTTTGAAAAACCATGCAACCATTAAGAGCGTGATATTCGCCTTAAGTGAATTACAATTATCAACCACAAGAAGCCCTACTCAATCCTCCGGTGATATTTTGACCAAATGCATCAAATAACTTATCTAAACATCTTAATGGTTGCCAGTCATCAAGACATATAGATAGTTTAAACACGATATGCATAAAGTCATAAGCAATTCAATAAAGCTACATATTCATGCTAAGGCTCGTGGTCTTGCCCTAGCAAAATGAATTATATTAAAAAAGAAAAAAAAAAGATTATTAGAAGAGTGGATAGAAAACACCTTGAAAGAAGAATACAAATTGCCAAAGCTTAACGAAGTTCTCTAAAGTAGTGCGGATAGAACCCTAATACACAATACTCAATATTTATAGTGTTTTATTCCTTATTCTACCTAAACAAGGCTTTTTAATAAATCTGGAAATCTAAATAAATAATAAATAATAAATAATAAATAATAAATAAAAGGTTTCCTATTTAAAGTCAAATTCGGATTGTAGAAAGAATCAGACTTTCGACCGACCAAATCAACTCCGATTTGGTCCCAAAATGTCTTTTAAAGCTTCAGACTAGACCTAGCATTCGTGTTGTGTTTCTCATGTCTGTATTGTTTTCGTGTCATACCCGATAGTTTAACGAGTCGTTTCGTGTAACACCTGTTAAAATAAACGGGTAATATGACCAGACCCAAAATTGACCCGTTAATATTATCAGGTAATATGACCCAATCCGTTACCCGTTAAGAAAAATATATATTAAATCAATAAATATTGAAAATGATAAACATAATTTGACCTAAAACAAATGCAAAACATAATACTAAATTAGTATATACATGCCACATTGTCACATAAATATTACTTCAAAACATAAAAAAAAAAATTTTGTCTTTCCAATTTACATACCCCAAAATAAGAGCCTAATGAAAAAAGTTAGTGCATACTACAAAATACAAATGTTCAAAGATATGCAAAATGAAGAGAGTTGTGTTTCAAGGTTGAGGAACGTTGCACGTTTTTGATAATAAAACTCTTCAATTTTCATCAATCATCAAGGGAAACAGTATTGAAACTTTGGCTTGATATATTGTCTTCAAGGGTTTTTCACTAAGGTTTTCCATATTCCATAAACTATAGATCTAAATTTAACCATTGATTGTCGTTTATATTTACGCTCCATTCTTCTCATCAAATTTTGTTTCTTTTTTTTTTTTTGGATTTTCTTTTTTGAAAACATGATCTCTTAGAGGATGCAGGAAGATGAACGGTTCTGATCATTGATATTATGTTCAAAGTTTTTACCATTTGTGAAAATATAGCTCGAAGTTTATAAGGTCTTTAGAAACTATATAACATAAACTCATATTTTAGTTAACTGTAAATATTGGAATGTCATATCAATGGTTTGAACCGTTCATTTTTCTACATTTGCTAAAAGTTCACTTTTCAAAAAAGAAAATCTAAAAAATGAAATTCGGTGAGTAGAATGAAGTTTAAGCTACAATGGACGGTTAAATTTAAATTTAAGGTTTATGAATTATGGTGAGTAGAATAATGATACAATAATAATTAATAAACAATATATACATATGACATATCCGCTATATCTATTATATTTTATAGTAAGTTTTGTAGTTTAAAAAATTAAAATCATCAAAAATAACTTTTTTCTTATCGTGTCGAAACAGGTTACCTACGTGTCACTCTCATGTAAACATGTTAAGCACCCGCTATTAACGGGTTCTTATCATGTGACCCGATTAGTTATTGTGTTGACTTGAAACCCGTTATTTTCGTGTCGTGTAAGAAATTGCCATGTCTACTTGAGATGTCCCAACAAAAGTCCAAAAGTCCAAAAACGTCAATCTGGGAAAGTTGCGCACTAGGCCTTCTTTTCTTCACCACATGCAAACCCACTCCAATTGGAATTACTCCAAAGTTCATCTATTTCATCGCTTTATGTCCAAAGTAGATTCGCATGTCCTACTATTGAAATTTACAACAAAGTATCGAAATTCATCCAAAATATCCAATAAATTATAACTAAGAATAGGGTAAAGTAAATAGTTTGGTATCAACACATCAGTATGGTGCCTATCCAACACAACTGATATGTCAATTTGTATTCAGATTTTCATTAAATTTCTTGTCAGAAATATGCGAATGACATTCCTTCGCTTTAATTATACTGAGCAGTTTAAAGTTTCCGTTGCAGTCCACCTTTTGACTTGTGTGGCTGAATAGTTCTTTGTATTTAGTTGATTAATATGTTTATTTGTGCAATTTTAGGTATGATGCAGAGGCTACGTATTTTGATGAAGGTGTTAGAACTGGGAAGCGCAAGCAGCTTGAAGAAAAATTGCTGCAAGTAATAATCCCGATATATATATAAATTGAGTTTCAATTCGATCTTACTCATGTCTTCGCTTAGTCACTTTTTATGTTTTTTTTTCCTTCTCTTATTTTTTTCTGTTAGCTTGTACAACCTGCGTTCCAAGCTTTGCTGGGACATATAAGATCTGGTACTCTGGATAAGTTCAAGGAAGCATTTGATAAGGCCTTGAGTGGTGGGGAGGGATTTTCAGCGGCTGCTCATAATTGCTCCGAGTCCTTTATGGCTCAGTTTGATGAAGGATGTTCAGGTGTGTTTTGGGAATTCCATTCCTTTAGCTAAATTTGGAAACTAAAAATAAAATAAAAAACTGAATTACAAAATAATAGAAGCCTTTAAATTGATGAAGTGAAGAATATGTGAACAATTTACAATTTGGAATGTACACTCCGAAAAACTGAATTACAAAATATGAGAAGCCTTTAATTTGATGAAGCGAAGAATACACAAGTCACTTTTTAGAACACATTCAAGTACAAGTTGAGTGACCTGTTGCTTCCTGCTGAGTAAATGTGTTCTAAGGGCGAGACTTCAAAATAACAGATTTTGGATTTGGCTCCACAGATTTGAGTTTTACATGCTTCTAAAGTACAATGTGGTATTCACACATTTTGTGCAGATGCTGTTATCACACTAGCAAACTGGGACACATCTAAAGTAAGGGATAAGATTAAACGTGATATAGAAGCCCATATTGCTTCAGTTCATGCTGCTAAGCTATCTGAACTTACTGCACTTTATGAGGTATAGTTGCATGTTTTGTCCATTGTTCCTTGTGAAATGATTGGGGCAACAGGTAGTTAAAAGCCCAAGCAAAATTTGACTGCAAAAGAAAATTAAAAGGGAAGTGGGTTCAAGCAATAACTTAGCTAGTTGGACTGGTTACATTGTGTCGGATATAGTTGCGAGAAGTTTTTCTCAAATGATTTTCAATCCTGATATTTTTTATGATTGAATTGTCTAATGGACCTGGCTGATAATTGAACTATATTTTCAGGGAAAGTTGAAGAATGCATTGTCAGCACCAGCAGAAGCTCTTCTAGATGGTGCTAATAGTGAGACCTGGCCCTCAATAAGAAAACTTTTCCGGCATGAGACAGAATCAGCTGTCTCTGGGCTCTCTAGTGCACTTTCCGGTTTTGATATGGATGAACAAGCTAAGGGCCAAATACTTGCAAATCTAGAGGCATATGCAAGAGGTGTGGTAGAAGCGAAAACAAAGGAAGAGGCTGGAAGGGTTTTGATTCGTATGAAGGACAGGTAGGAAATCCTTTCAATGGTCGCATTCAGTTGTCTAATTGTTTCATATTTTATAATATGGAAATTAAGATTGGATTTGCCCACAGGATTGCAACACTACTTAGCCATGGTTCTGAGACATTCAGTGGTCAAAATGTTTTCAAGAGTTTATTTTATGGAAATTAAGTTTGGATTTGTCCACAGGTTTGCAACATTACTTAGTCATGGTTCTGATGGTTTAAAATTTCCTACAGGTTTATGACATTATTTAGCCATGATTCTGATTCAATGCCACGTGTGTGGACTGGGAAGGAAGATATTAGAGCAATTACCAAAACCGCTCGTTCTGCTGTATGTCATAATTTCTGTTGTATTATCTATTGTTTGTGTTTCAATTTTCGCTAAAGCTTCCTTAACTATATATTCAATTTTGCAGTCTTTAAAATTGCTTTCTGTTATGGCCGCAATCCGTTTGGATGACGATGACGTTGATAATATTGAGAATACTTTGTCCCTTGCCTTGGTGGATTCCACAAATGCTGCTGTTAAAGATAGGAGTATCACAGCAGCTGACCCACTGGCTTCAAGCACTTGGCAAGAGGTGGCTTTCTTTTTTTCATTTCTTGCATGTGAATTTATAATCTGCGTTGCAGTGATCCCATCTATTAGAAAGCCATGTTAGCTTAGGTATTTCAAGCCTTGAAAAAACTGGTCCCTTTTGGTCTTTTAGCGTCAAAGCTGAGTATTTTTCCAGAAGGCCATGCGGACTTGCGCCTTTCTGTGAAATCAGAGACACACTCAGATTTAAGTATACTTATTTGATAAATAAGTTCATAAGTTACTCTGGCAATGTATTCTCTCGTTTGCTTGTTCTGTGGTACTGCTGGTAGCCTTTAGTTTTGCCTGTAAGCACCAAATAGCTTTAGTGACTTTTCCCCCTTCTATGCAGATTTCAGCATCAAAAACATTGATCACACCTGTCCAGTGCAAATCTTTGTGGAGGCAATTCAAAGCAGAGACCGAGTACAGTGTTTCTCAGGCTATTTCTGCACAGGTATGATAGACTACCTGTAATGCTGGCTATTATTTCTCTTTTTCCTTTTTCTATGATTTCTTATTTTTCTTAATGGAAACCATAAACTGTTTTGTCTTCTATAAAGCATTATTTAGTGGCCTGTTATTGTTTTAGTGTGTTTTAGCTTTGTAGGTTAGATTTAGATTTAGATGGTACCATTCTTTACATTTATACCTGTATTGATCTAAATGCCTTACTAGATTTTGTTGTGTTTTTTAGAGTTTCAGACAGAATTTTCTTAATTAAATTACTCAGTAAGCTTGATATTACATCCTTTTGTTTTTGTTGGTAAATAACAGAAATTAAAGAACAGTTCTTAGGAGTTAAAGAGTTAAAAACAAATCATTAAAGAGGCTTCTTGGCTTATATTTTGTAGTTGAGTCGTGCAGTGTTGCTATTGCCTTGCATAAATGATTACTGTTTCTCAGCACATATGAGATTCAAAATGTCACCACGGTTGAGATGAATACATTGACCAATTCACGTGGTATAAATATTTTTATCAATTGCTCTTTAATGGTTAGTATTTCTCTGCGTTTAACTTACTGATAATCACACCTAGTCCATTCCTATGCTATTTTACTTTTCAGGAAGCTAACAAGCGTAATAACAACTGGCTGCCACCTCCATGGGCAATTGTTGCCTTGATAATCCTGGGATTCAATGAATTTATGACACTTTTAAGGTACATGCTTCCCTTTAGTGGAGGTAGATGACGATGCTGGTGTTCTACCTTTTTATCCATTACCATTATTCTCACAAATTCATATACCTTCATGGCAGAAATCCTTTGTATCTGTGCGTCATCTTTGTGGGATTTTTACTCGTTAAAGCCCTATGGGTGCAGCTAGACATTGCGGGTGAATTCCGTAATGGTGCTGTGAGTATCAAATTTTATTTTAAGTTTATCTCTCCTCCCTCATCCCTTGCCAATCTATTTAAGATAGGACTGGTCATATAATACCAATAACCACAATATCTTATTGCAAAAGGTGATTTAGAAGTTGACCTCTAACTGTGATACTGTACCTACAGCTTCCCGGGCTTCTATGCTTGTCGACCAAGTTGGTTCCAACTATCATGAACATGATGAAAAGACTAGCAGAAGAAGGGGCAAAGCCTGCAGCTAATGATCCTCCGAGGAACCCTGCACTAGCATCAACAGGCCATAGGAATGAAGGGAGTTCTAGCAGTGAAATGTCATCGGAAGTGACAGAATCTGAATACTCCAGCCCCTCAAAACATAACTAGTTTAAACAATGCGATCGAAGACCAGTTTCCTGTTTGAAGATTCTGGTGTTCCACGTACTTAATGTACGGGTGTTAGTCAGTGGTAATAGTTTTGTAGGCATCATTTTTGAGCGAGTGCCGCATACAAGAGAGGGAAAAAAAGGAGGGGGGGTGGGTTGGTGTTGTGACTTTGTGAGGGAGCCCCATCAAATAGTAATAGGTGGGTTTTTGTTTTGTTGTTTCGTGTTGTTGGAGAAGCTACTAAAGTTCCTCCTTTCAGTGATCGAGACTTTGTGAGGGAGCCCCATCAAATAGTAATAGGTGGGTTTTTGTTTTGTTGTTTCGTGTTGTTGGAGAAGCTACTAAAGTTCCTCCTTTCAGTGATCGATATTGATAATGATGCTGTGCATTGATTAATTCCTACGGTGATCGTCAGTTTTGTATTGCTAAGTTGTAACCATGCTTGGTCTTGGGAGTTATCTGAATATTGTCAAATCAATTATCCACTAGTTGATTTTCCTTTTTGTATTTTTGTTAATATGTAAATTGTTCTCAAGGAGTAAAGTTTGTATATTATTTAGGGACATTGTAAAGGGTGATTATTTTTCTTAATCTTAGGATTGAAATAGGACAAACGAAATATGCACAGAGCATGCATGTGCAATGCACAGCAATGGGACATAAGTATGATTATTTCTACACCTTGAAATAACCTAATTGCCCATGTATATAAATGGATTAATTTGTCAAACCAGTTAGCATTTGCACCTTTGTTCGAAAGTCTCTGGTGCCCAACCCTTGGCTTCAAGAACCCTAACCTTAAACGGCGTGGTCCTTTTGCCCCTTATTTTTTGACTGACGCTAACTTTTGAATCCATACTATGTAATTCGCGGCCTAGGCGATTGTGTTATCCATCCTTTTAAAAAATTTCAATGGCAAAATAAAAAAAGAGGTATAGTTTGAAATGAAATTTCATTATTTCGACCTAGGTGTTTTTAAAGTTGGGAATTTTAGGTGCAGTTTAGTGTTTTGTATTGTTAAGTTGTTCAATATTAATTTGTGGTGTGCATGTGGTTTAGAGGTTGCACCTTTGTTCGAAAGTCTTTGGTGCCCAACCCTTAGCTTGAAGAACCCTAACCCTAAACGGCGTGGCCCTTTTGCACACTATTTTTTGATCGATGCTAACTTTTGAATCCGTTCTATGTATTTCGCAGCATAGGCGATTGTGTTATCCATCCTTTCAAAAAATTTCAAAGGAAAAATAAAAAAAGAGGTACAGTTTGAAATGAAATTTCATTATTTCGACCTAAGTTTCTTAAAGTTGGGAATTTTGGGTGCAGTTTAGTGTTTTGTATTGTTAAGTTTTTCCATATTAATTTGAGGTGTGCATGTGGTGTCACATCCCTGCTCAGGCCCCCACCACAACCCAGGCCCGCTCCACCACTGTAGCACGATATTGTCCGCTTTAGGCCCCGACCACGCCCTCACGGTTTTGTTTTTGGGAACTCATATGAGAACTTCCCGATGGGTCACCTATCTTGGGAATGCTTTCGCGCGCTACTTGCTTAACTTCAGAGTTCCCATGGAACCCGAAGCCAGTGAGCTCCCAAAAGGCGTAGGGATGAGAATATACATATAAGGATCACACCTCTGGGCGATGTGGGATGTCACAGTCCACCCCCCTTAGGGGCCCGACGTTCTCGTTGGCACACACGCTACTAGGGTTAGGCTCTGATACCAAATTGTCGCATCCCAGCCCAGGGGGATCATTTGCTGGGCTCGCTCCACCACCGTAGCACGATATTGTCCGCTTTGGGTCCCAACCATGCCCTCACGATTTTGTTTTTGGGAACTCACAAGCAACTTCCCAGTGGGTCACCCATCATGGGATTGCTCTAGCCCCCTTCTCGCTTAACTTCGGAGTTCTTACGGAACCCGAAGCCAGTGAGCTCCCAAAAGGCCTCATGCTAGGTAGGGATGAGAATATACATATAAGGATCACACCCCTGGGCGATGTGGGATGTCACATGTGGTTTAGAGGTTGCTGGAAATTAATTGATTCAAATTTGTTCATCAATTCATGCATACTACATGCATAATCCATGCATGCCTATATTTGGGCACACTTGAATTTGGTTCATGAATTGGTTGAATTTGTGCATACTGTACATATATTGATGCGAAAATTAACTTAACACACAAATTAACCCTCTTTTGACAATTGTAGTATATAGGTAAGTATGGATCGTTCTTAAACTGGGGATTAGGAGGGATTGCTAAACACTTTAAACTGACTCAAATAGATAAAACTAGCCTTTAAAACACTTAACTCAACTTAAAAGACTCAAAACAAGCTCACAAGACTCAAGATAAACTAAAAACACTCAAAACTGCCTAAAAACACAAACTGGGCAGATTTGACTCTAAACACAATTTTGGACGAATTTTGGTTCTAACTTGACTCAAAACACTTGAAAACACAATCTAAAACAGATTTCAACTAGTTAGACACTCTAAAATAAAGGGAGATTTGGTTTTGGACGAAAATAAAGTAAACAAAACAAGAATTTAAACCAGGCAAATTTGCACGAATTTGGTGAAGTTAGATGGATGATGGGCTAGCTAGGAGGTCTTTCTCCACACATGACATACTTGCATACAAAACAATCCCCAGTTGCTTTTTCAATGAATCATTAACCTCAACACCCCAAGTTAATTAGGTATGCTGAAATTAACCTTCAGATTTTCCTTATGTCATTGAATTGAATGGAATTAGCGCATTGCAATCAAATTATTCCTCAAAAGTTCTCTACATGAAAGCGCATAATAGAGAAACAATCAAAGATCATTAAATTCTATGAAAATCATAAGTGTTGACGAGGCATTCGTAACTATGAAAGCGCATGATACTTATGCCAAGAATTTACTTAATATGATTGTGACTAACAACCTTTACTACTTATGACTATAAGTTCACAACGATTAGGTGAAGCTTCCTTATATCCTAGCATCAGATTTGTGCATGCAAATTAAGTGTGCACTCTCAATCCATATACATAAACAAGTTTTAATTCAAATAGATAAGTAAATTGAATTCACAATTCATGAAATCACAACTGGAAGTAATCAAATCATAATGCAAATATAGCCATGGTTTCGAAATTCCCCCTAGCCAAAAGGGGATTAGTTCCTCATACTCGCAAAGCAAAGATTCTTGAAATTAAACATTGAAAAACACAAGAAAGACTACACCTAAAACGTTCCAGCAACTCCAAGTTGAATGGCATGCACATCTAGGGCTTTCCTCCTTCTTCCTTGCTGCGGCACAAGGTGTGGGTGATGGTTTTGGGGGTTTTGAATGACGTATTCTTCCTTAGGATGATGAATAATGGCTGGTTATGGTGGTAGAGTGCGGCAGATTGTGTATGGAGGTGTTGGGATTGAATGGATGATGGAGAATGGAGGTTAGGGCTTGCGGCAAGGAGTTTCTGAATGGCATAAGGGGTTGATACGAATTTGTGGCTGAAAAATATATATATATATATATATATATATATATATATATAGTCCTAGGGTTAATTAGATTAGGAGAGGGTTTGCCTCAATTAGTTTCATAAAAGGATTTGTGTAACCCAAATCCACAAGGAATGAGGCCCTATAAATTAGAATCCAAAAAGGATAAGGCCTAGAGGGGTGCAACACATATTGGAGGGAAAGAGGGAATGGCTTGAAAGGCAAGGCAAGACCTTCTAGAAGGGAATAGTGATGCGAGAATTATACGCACACAAATTAAACCCTCTTTTTGACAATTGTAGTATAAGTATAAGTAGGGATCGTTCTGGACCGGGGATTAGGAGGGATTGTTAATCACTTGGATTTTGACTCAAAAACGTAAAAACAAGTTTAAAACACTAATTAATGCGAAGAATACAAAACTAAAAGTAAGAAAGACTAAGACTTAAACAAAATAAAGGGGGATTGGATTTGGACAAAAATTGAAATAACGAAACAAGTAAATAAACTAGATAGAATGTAAATATGAAATTGATGAAATGGAATGAATGGATGCTAGCCAAGGGGTTCATCTCCACACATGTTACACTTGCATAATAAAAAGATTTCTAATTGTATTTCAATAAACCATGAATTCTCAACGCCCCGGGTTAATTAGGTCCGCTTTAATTAACCGTCAAGTTTTCCTTAAGTTAATGAATTGGATGATTGCATACGACAATCCAAAGCATTCCTCAAAAGTTCCCTACATGAATTGCATAATAGAGATACAAGCAAGAATCATTAAGCATCATGAAAACTATAAGTGTTGACGAGGCATTCGTTACTATGATTGCATGAAACTTATGCCAAGAATATGTTTAACACGATTGTTTATAAGCAACCTCCACTACTTGTGAATATAAGTTCATAACTATTATGTGAAATTCACTTATATTCTAGCGTCAAATTCATGCATGAAAATTAAGCGTTCATTCTTAATAAACATACATAAATAGGTTATCAATTAAACAGTTAAACAAATTGAATTCACAACTTATGAAACGTAATTAAAAGTAATCAAATCATATTACAAACATAAACATAGTTTCGAATCACCCCCTAGCTAAAGGGGGTTTAGTTCCTCATAACTTTGAAATCAAAGAAACACCTAAACATTCCAACAACTCAAAACTTTGAATTGTATGAACGTTTAAGCACTCTTTTCTTCCATTTCTCATACGTACAAAACAAAGAGAATTAAAATGAAACTTTGAAATCAAAGAAACACCTAAACATTCCAACAACTCAAAACTTGAATTGTATGAACGTTTAGGCACTCTTCTCTTCCTTGTTGTTGTAGCACAAGGTTTAAGGATAGGTTGGTTGGGGGGATGGAAGTGTTGGGGAATTATGGAAATGGATGAGGATTGGTGGAAATGGAAGATGGTTTTGGGATTCTAAGGGAGAAAGGAATGTGTTTGTGGTGTGTTGTTGTGTTGTGAATGAGATGATTTTTGAATGAATGAATGCAAGGGTATTTATAGGAGGAGTGGAGATGTATATGGCTATTTGTTTAAGGTGTTTGTGGTTGCAATGATGAAGAATAAAGGGTGCATGTGGGGTGGAAGTGATGAATGCAAAGTGAATGAATAATGAAATGAGTTAAAGAGGGAGAATGTGGTGAAATGATGAAGTAGGAAGGTGGAAATGCATGTGACTTGTTTGTGGAATAAAGAATGAATGGTGGAATGATGAAGAGTTGCATAAAGAATGCATGTAGGGTTAGCTAGGTTGTGTGATGATGAGTGTATGTGGAATAAAGAATGAATGGTGGTGTAATGATGAAGTGAATGCATGTGGAATTAAAGAGGGAGAATGTGATGAAATGATGAAGTAGGAAGGTGGAAATGCATGTGAGATGTTGGAAAGGAATTGGGTTAAAGAATGGGAGTGCATGTGCAAGGTTGTTGTTGTGATAAGTGATAAGTGATAGGTGTATGGTTATGATAAGGAGATGAATGAATGATATGTT